ATTACTATAAGCACTGCTCATGGATGATGCAAGAGGTCAATCGATAAAATAAATTATCAAATGCATTTAATCTAATATTTGTTATAGAATATAAAACATTTATCCAACTACGAGTTGTGCACTGTAAATGAGCAGGAAAGAATCTGGACGAATGGAAGTATTGTGTTATAAAATGATCGCATATTAAGGTACTACTCAAGGGAGATCAATTAAGTATTTTAGAACTTATTAAAGAAGATCCTAATTTATAGCTTGGTATGCTCTTCTTGCAATCTTCGAATCTTTGAATAGAAATCGTCGGGGCATAGGCTCATCTAGTCCTGTTGCATGCTGGTGTATCCATTGTGTTGATCTGCCAGATGGTGACACTTACATGCCAAGGTCGAAAGGGTACCTGGCACGGCGCATTCAATGTTAAAAGCCCAATTCTTTGAGTAATTTCAAGAATGCAGTTGTGTCTATTTGATAGATATGTACACAAAAAGTTCAGAGACAGAAGTGAGGTACCTAAGACGCTATGGGGGATGTGCGATAGACCTACTACCACGTGGTGCATCCTGGGCAACGTATACTCATACGGCAAAAAATTCTATCACGTGGTGCACCCTGGGCAACGTATACTCATACGGCAAACAAACTGGTGCACCCTGGGCAACGTATACACGGCAAAAGAGTCCGGGTGCACCCTGGGCAACGTATACTCATACAGCAAAAATGTGGTGCATCCTGGGCAATGTATACTCATACGGCAAAAAAGTCTATTAAATGGCTTGGAAACGTGACCTCATACGGCAAAAAGTCTATAAACCGCTGGGCAACGTATACTCATACGGCAAAAAATTCTATTAACAGGCAGTTGACTTCTGACTTCAAACTACCATGATCCCACTCTATGTCATATTTTTACCCCTTCCACAGTGCTCACCTTACTTCTTCTCTGCCTTTGTGTCTGTCTGTCTCTTTTACATCTGTGAATCGCTCTTCTTTTCCCCTGTCGAATTTTCTCACTTTAATGTTCCTCCATCCTGTGAAGCCCGAAGTCAACTAAAGGGCTAAGGATAACTATCAAAATGCCTGCCATTTGAAATAAATAGATAAAGACGCTATAGGAAAGGCATTTGGGACAGGAACCAAGATATTGCAAATATGCCGACTGAATAATAAGTGTTCATAGGGTTCTATATTTTTCTGATGATTTTTAAAATAACAAATTGAGCTAAAGTATTTGAGCTTACTGTTTCGTTGAAGCGTCAATAATTCTGCTTCTTCTGAGTTCGTTGTTTTCGGCCTCGAGAACTTGGACATTTTGTTCCAATTTTTCCACTTGCTTCTCCTGTTTCACCATAAGTTCATACATCTCCGTGTTCCTCTGCTGCAAGATAGACGTTTCTGATTTCATGATTTCATACTCCTTGGTCATTGCGTTGTACTCAGCCATTACATGGTGGAGCAACTTAGCGCGTCGTTCGGCTTTGATCTTCAGGTCCTTGAACTGTCAAGAGAAAAGTAGGGAAATACTGTTCCAGTGGAATATAAGGCAACGTGATTGTTCAAAATTCATATAAACCGAAATAAATCCAATGTTGGCATTACATTTAA